CCATCCAGGATCTGCCCCGGTTCGTCCGCTTGAGCATCTCCACGTGGTGCCGCGCCATCTCGCGGACTCTGGGGTTGGCCTCCACGTAGCTCCATTTTTCGATCCTCCACCCCGCCTTCAGTGCCGCGGCCAGGCCGGTGCCTAGCCCGCCGAACAGTTCCAGCATTCTGATCGGTTTTTGCAGTAAGCGCTTGTCCAGTATCTCTCTAGGGATCACCGCCTTCCTTTCCGCCCAGAACTCTCGCTGCCGCCGCACCTGCAGTTCTGCCTCTGCCTCATACCAACTCATTTCCCCAAACTGATCATCTAGATCCACCATGCGGACCTGATAGGCTGCCTTCGGCTCCTGGTAAACGAAGCGGACTGGCAGCGTCCCCCTCGGTCCCTTGGGGCCCCAGAATTGCGGGCGATACACCACCTTCTCCTGCCACGTGCATATGGTGGAGCCCACAGCATATAGTAGCCTCATGCCTACAAGCAGATCGTAGTCTTCTGATTCGATTACTTCGCAGTGCAGCTTTACTCGGCACTCATCCCTCTCTCCTGGTTTCAGCACTACTTCCACCCTATTCCGGGTCCTCGGGAGCCACTTTGGTTCTCCGCCTTCTGCCGTCATGACCGAGAAGCCTCGCTCCAGCAGGCGCCCATCCTCGTGCAGCCTCATCTGCTCCGCGAGCCCCTTTCCGATGAGCACGTGGTGTGCTCCGGTGTCAATAATCGCCAGATCCACTGGGATACCGCCCACTGCTATGGATCCCTTGGCCGCCGCCAGCACCGTGGACTGGCATACCATTCTTTCCCTGGGGTGTCGGTACGCCGAGTCCTCGAAGTCTGGGTCCTCCTCGCATCTCTGCTCCCTCGCCCATGGGTTCTCAGTCAATCCGGCTCGCAGCAGGCCTTCATCACGCTGCCGCGCCGCCTCTCGCCGCGTTCCCGGTCTCGCCATCAGCTGGAAAGAGACTTGACTGCTGGCCTCCTCATCTTCGTCTCCGCCAATATATAATGCCTCCGCCGGCTTCTCCTCTTCTCCCAGCTCTTCCAGCTGCACCCGCAGCTTCCGCAACTCTTCCTCGAGCTCGCCCCTGGTCTTATTTCTTCCTTTTGGCGGCTTCTTGGAGTAACAATCCGCCTCTCGGTGTCCCTTCTTCCCACAGTGCTTGCAAGTTGGCGATCGCGGGCATTCCCGCCTTAGATGCCCCACCTCTCCGCAGGTGTCACAGCGCGGTGCTTGATCGCAGTCCCGCTGGATGTGCCCCGGTTGGCCGCATTGGTGACACTTGCGGCGTTCTCCGCCCACGGCTTCCTCCCTGCGCGCTCGTTCGGGAGTAGTGCTGGCCACCCACACTCCTCGTCGCCTCTCGCCTCCCCTCGTCTCCGCTCGCTCCAGCTCGTACAGCTTAATCCCATTTCGTAGCGACACGCCACTTCGTAAACCTGCTGAAGCGAGGCCTCGCGACCCATTTCAAACACCTTGCTGCGAAGTTCCTTCACCATACTCTGATCGAGACCGTTTAGGAACTTCCCAATCAGCCGGCGCTCATCGGTGCACTCCAGGTCCACTGCCAACTCCCTCAGCCTGCCGTAGTATCCCAGCAGCGACTCTTCCCCTTTCCGTTCGAAGAAGGCGAACTCCCGTATTTTCTCTGGCATTTGCACCGGGAACTGCCGCTTGAGGTTCTCCAGGAATTCCTCGACGATTCCCCAGTCGTCGCTCCCCATGTACCGGTACTTGACCAGCAGATCCGGTTTGCTGATGCGATAATATGTTTCTGCTTCTCCCGCCAGAGTGTTAGAGAGCCCGCGAAAGAACTCCTCTGCTTCCAGGCCATCTCGGATCCACCGATGGCGCACGTTGTCGATCTGCATGAGATAATTGCGCAGATCCGCTCCGATGCCCGTCTGCCCGGTAAATCTCTTCGGCACTTTAATTTCCGGCAGGTTCGTGTAGCGCCAGCGCTCGCTCGCTTGCGCCAGGGCATCCCGCTTCGTCGCTCCTGTCGACCTCGCCGTCCGCATCGTCACTCCCCGCACCTCATCCTCCTGCGTCCACCTTCGACGCTCGACCGAGCCGGTTCGCTGCAGGCGACGGCTTTCCCCTTCGCCGAGGATCTTCCGCGACTCACCGGACCGTGCGTCCAGGAGATCACCCTGACTACGCCTGCGCGCCGGTGGACGATACACTTCGCTACGATCGGACTCTGTTCCGATCGAAGCTCTCCAGGTTTCTGGCGCCGCTGGCGCTTCTTCCCGCGGTCCTTCCTGCACTCCGCTCGTATCCATGGCCCCTTAGGCAATGGTTCGCGAGACCGTCTCAGCTGCAGGCTATCGAACCGCACATGCTTGTTTGTATGTCGAAAAGTCCACTGACCTAACGACTGGTTCCTCCCATCCGGCTGGCTTCTGTTAGGAAGATAACACAAGCGCACTCCACTATACGAGAAAACATACAAACAAGCAAGGAGACTAGAGACTAGAGCTAGCTTGCATCCTATGTACAAAGTAAATCTGGGCTAGCCACAGGCTTCTTGCTGTGGGCGAGGGTCAGGCTAGAACCTGCACACACACGCCAACTGCACATGCACACAACAAGCACACCATCCGACATACACACATCTCAGCCGTCAAACGACAGCCCCCCCTATTTACAAGGGTAATCCCCACCGTTCACAAGCCGCACCCCATCCACTCTCTTGCCAACCGCACGCCCAGTCCTGTTCAATCACGTGAAACCCCAGCTTGGCTGCCATCACTCTACTGACGGCTCGCTTGCATTCCGAGGTCCTCGCTCGGTATTCCACCACCTGTCTAGTTCTCCTCGTACTCCAGCTGTCCTTTCCATTCCCTCGCTTCTTCGCTCCTTGCAGCACCGATAAGCTCTGACCCAGTACACTCTCGTCGCTCGGAACAGAAACATATACACTTTCTTGTTACGCGCGACAGCTTTAAGCACTCTTTTATTGGCATACGTTAATAGAGACCACTAAATGGGCCTTGCTGGGACCATCTGGACTTTCTTGTTGATGCTGTTTATACAGAAATTCTGAAATAGGCATAACCTAGCTTTGAACCACGAAGTAGTGGCGAACTCTGTCCTGTCGCACCCTGTAACTCAAATGATTCGCGGGAGGTGCGTCGATACCCTGAACAAACCAGGCGGGCACTAGATGGCTCTAGAAACTTCTTGTGTCGCGTCGCAGGATGATGCGACACTCTGAAACTACTGTCCGGTTCTTGAACGGTTGAGAAGGCACCCCTGGCGGTTTTCTCGGTTTTCATGGCAGCGTAACATGCGGCAGCAACCCCGGGCTTCACCAGCAATTTGAAACCTTCCCCTAACCTCATTGCTGCAGACATTGCATGGCTAGGCGATTTGGGATCTGGAGTCGGAGTGTCGAGCCGCATTGGCACGAACCAGACCTGAAGCCTTGGACTCGGCAAATTTGCAATCATCTAGGCGGGCAACCTGATAGCAGTAGTGTGTGACATGCCGTGTAGTAGTAGTATACTAGCACCGCCACGTACCACGCCGAATAGCGCGGAGTAGCGACGATGTACAATGGTGGTACTATCGAGAAACCACCTCAGCTGACCATAAAAGCAGCCAGCCTTCAGCAGGTCATCTCATCGCTTCATTAGTTCGATCATTCAAATCACCCGACAAAACCCAGCTACCACTGCACTACTATTTTCTTGCAAAGCAGCCATGGCCCACACGTCGCTGCGACTCGCGCTCGTCCTCGCTTGTGAGTGTCTGATACTCTCACCGCCATTACACTCCCACCGCCCTTGCCGTGTTGCTCTCTTGTTGCCGAGTTGTTGCTCGCCCGCTCTCTCAGGCTGATTTTCGTAGGTCCGTGATGTTGTTCGTGGTACTAGTCTGCCTAACAAAAATGAATCTTAGAATGCCTTTGTCGTTATCCCGCGTGCAGTGCTGCTCTTGCTCGCCTGCAGCGCCATCGCCGGTCGCCATCTGCTCTAGTCTGGAACTGCCAAACGCTGTACGACTCCCTACCGTGCTGTACCATTCCTCATCGTGCTATACGACTCCCTATCATGCTCTTTATCGTGCTGTACCACTCTTTATCGTGCTGTACGACTCCCTACCGTATTGTACGACTCTCTACCGTGCTGTACCACTCGTTATCGTGCTGTATGGCTCCCTATGTTTGGACGGCGCCCTGTCTTATTGCAAATCTCACATACTGTCATCGGCAAGATTGCTTGCAAACGCCATCCCTTGCTTTCCATGCTCATGCCCAAATGCATGCCCCAACGAGTCTTGCTTGCAAGCTTCCCTTCACGCTCATGCTCAGGAATAAGGTATTGCACCATGCACCCAAACACACGGACCATGGACACATCGGGCTTGACTTTGAACACCACCAAATGAGGGGTCACACCATGGGGCAGGGTGGACTGGTGCACACGGTTTACCACCCACAGGAACTACTGAAAAGAAAAGTGCCACCAGTGTGCTTTCACCGGACGGTTACCGGACGGTTGCGGCGTTCAACCACACCGTTTTGTTAGGGGGTGGAAGGGCAGGAAAGTTGATGCAGGATTCCTCGTTGCTTCAGCAGCAGTAGGAACTCGTTTGACATAAAATCTCCTCCCCGGTCCGACCGCAACACCTTCAGCGTCATCCCGGTCTGGCGTTCAGCTTCGGGAAGCCATTCCTTGAAGGCAGCAAGCGCGTCGCTCTTCAGCTTCAATGTCTTCCCCCAGGTGTAACGTGAGGCGTTATTCACGAAAAGGATGTAGTACCTACTTCCATCCATAGCTGGGGTTTGAAATGGACCGCACACGTCAGTATGGACCAGCCCAAGAACCTGCTCCTCTCGCTCGTCGTGCAGCGGAAATGTTTGGCGAGTGAGCTTTGGTTCATGGCAGGAGGTGCACGGCATATCCTCACCTCCTTTCTCCAAGTCCATACCGAACACGCCGCCGCTCGTGGCTGTCCGCTTCACTGCATCGAAGTGGATGTGCCCAAGGCGAGCGTGCTATAGGTTGGGCGTTTCCTTGGAGCCCACCGCGCGTGTCTTGAGGCTGGCCGCTCCGTCCTTCGTTTCCGGCTTGCTTGACGCCACTTTAACAACCGCCTTAGTCATGCCGTTGCATGTCACTGCAGCCACCGTGCCGTTGCTTGCCGCTCCAGCCGCTGTGCCGTTGCATGCCGTTGCAGCCCTCATGCCGTTGCATGCCGCTGCAGCCCCCGTGCCATTGCATGCCGCTGCGGCCATCGTGCCGTTGCATGCCGCTGCAGCCCCCGTGCCGTTGCATGCCGCCGCAGCCATCGTGCCGTTGCATGCTGGCCACGGTTTCAGGTCAAGGCAGAGAAGACAATGGCGGTAGCGTGCCGTTGCAGCCACTTGTCCTCCCAATGCGATGACGCGGGTGACACCTTCTTTGGTTTGCAGATTTGCTCCCTTGTCCGTGAGCTGCCCAAGGGAGTCCAAGTTGGCCTTCATTCCTGGCACAAAGAGGACATCATGCAGGGTCAGGCGCAACTTGTTGGTGCCCTTCAGTAAAACCTCACCAACACCGCCAACTACCTGCATAGAACCATCAAACCCTTTGACAGATTTCGTTGCAGGTGAGTCACGGATCACCATGAACCACTCCTTGCGGCCGGTCATGTGTTGGGAGCATCCCGAGTCAAGGAACCACAAGTCCTTGTCGTCGGCCAGCAACTTTTCAGCCGAACACGCAACGGTGAGCGCCATGCCCTTCCCGTCTCCTTCAGCTACGTTCGCGGCTGCCGCGGGCGTTGCATCCTTCTTCTTGTTGGGGCACTTGGCAGCCATGTGCCCCTCCTCATTGCAGTTGCAACAGCGCCCCTTGAAGGGGGCTCGCTTCTTCTCCCGCTTGCCATCCTTCTTCTTGTCCGTCTTCTCCTTTCCTCCCTTTCCTTCCTTCCCGTTGACCCCCGTTGTAGCCACAATCGTGTTGACAACACCCGAGAAAGCAGATGCATCGCTAGTGATCTGCTTGTAGCTGTGTTCGATGGAGAGAGTCTGCTCCTCCATCAACACCTCGCTGCACACACGTTCCACCGTCATGTCAGGGCTGGAAATATTGAGCCTGCGGCGAAGAAATCTGTACTCCGGCGGCAGACCCTTCAGCACGTGCGCAGCGAATGTGGCTATATGGACCTCCTGTCTAATGGTCAGCAACTCCGCTCGAATGGTGCGAGCCCTGTTACAGTAGGATTCCGTCGTCGCATCATCTCCCTTCGTGATTTGGGCTAGCAAGGTCTGAAGTAGGGAGGTGTGGAGGGCATCACGAGCTTGATAGGTAGACAAGATATATGCCCATGCTAGCTACCCGGCTTTCTCTTGCTGAGAGAAACCAGAGATAGGCATTCAGATGGCTGGAGAAACACAGCGGTTCAGCACCATGAATGCAAGCATTTGGCCCTTCGCGTACTCCCTTCGTTGCATGGGGTTGTTTGGGGCCGGGCTTGGTGCTGTCCTGTTGCAGAACTGCCACAAATCAGCACACTGGAGCTGAGGTCGGATGGCGCTGACCCACGCGGTGAGGTCGTGCCTTCCCTCCAGCAGCGACGTCACGGAGATGTGCTCTACTCCAAACTTGAATTGGCCGTAGCTCGTCCCGATCGTTCCCGTGTCAATGGTCGATACAACAGCTCCTCCACCTATGCCCACGACACCAGGAGCCTCGCGCACAGCTCCTCCTTCACCGGTTCCTCCTTGTTGGTTGCTCGTAGGTGCTTGCTCCGCCGCGCGCTCCCTAACCATGCGCAGTAGACGACCGTCCACAAGGAGGTCTATCTCCTCATCACGCAAGTTAGGGTGGTGCCCACGAACGGACGCCTCCAGCTCCTGACGGGCACTTAAGCCCTCAACACTCGTTAACCACTCCATTTGCGGTCAAAACGAGCGTAGGCCACACCAACATATGAAGGAAGTGACGAGAGGACGGAATCAAGCCGCTAGTTGGATCGACGAAGATAACGCAGCTCTGACACCATGTAGAATTCCAATACTGTAGCAACTTGATAGAGCTCGAAAGCACGATTGCAACGCACAAAAGATTGCAGGAAATGGTCCACTATAACTAGAGATACACACAAACATAGCAGAAGAAATGACTTGGTTAATTTCTGGTTTGTGCTCTCTGGTTTTATACTAGGACACTTTCAATACAAAAACAAAGCACACAAGAAAGTGTCGACCCGGGTCGCGCGCTGAATTTCGTCGACGCGAAATTCCGAGCCTTGAATTTCACCAGGCGAATTCCATTGACTGGAAATCCATAGACGAGAATTTCCGCGACCAGAATTCCGTCGACCACCGACTGTAACTCCCGTGCGAACTCCGTTGTATTCGACACTTCGCTGCCGAGTTTCAAACCGAACGTGACCCGAGATCGATTTTGCCAAACTGTCCCCAATCTGTCCCCAAACTGTCCCTTATCTGTCCTGACAAGACACTTTCGGGACACTTGAATCGTAAGGTCTCCAGTTCGAAACTCGTGTGCAGCATAACCAGCACCTTAGCAGAAACTGCCCCGAATCTGTCATGAGACAGTTTCAAGACAGATTTGAAGGTCACAAGTTCGAATCCCAGCGCCGACACTTAGTTGCTCATGGCAGCATTTCCTTCTAACAAACACGAGGCTATATATAGTCTCGACACAAGGCCAGTAACCCAGGTGTTACGCGAATGTTCTAAGGGTCGCGAAGCGTCCCGAACAGAACCTTCCCGAACTCGGTAGAAAGCAATTCGGTGGCAACCAAAGAGGCTTGAGTTTGGTACACGTAACCTGGTTCGGTGCTATAACTATAATAACATATAGGAATGCACCTAACCTAGGAAATCAAGCATATCTATGCATGATAAATAAAACAAAGGCTAGTAATAGCATAATAAAGTCTAGGCAAGCTAGCAAAGCCAGCATAAGCCGTCGTACTCTCACAGTTACAGTGGGAGAAAGACTTAGCGGTAAGGAAGGGTTCAGGAAAAATTTGGGTACCGAACTATGCCCCGCTTCGACAGATCTTATTGGAAGTGTTTCACGATGTAGCATAGTGGGACATTTCGGGAGCAACAAGACGTTAGCAGGAATAGCGAAGTATTACTACTGGCCCCGGATGGCAGCAGACGTGCAGCACTTTGTCACCTCATGCGACTCGTGCCAGCGGATGAAGATTAGGAAGTAGAAAAAAGCAGGGTTACTTCAGCCTCTACCCGTACCGGAGCAGCCATGGCAAGTCGTTAGCCTAGACTTCATCACTGGGCTTCCTTCGACCTCACAAGGGCATGATGCTATACATGTGAGAGTACGACGGCTTTGCTGGACTTTACTTGCTTGATTCTGCTTTATTACGCATTATCTAGCTTAGCTGTATTTATGATATTTATTATAGCTATAGGCTCCAAATTCTAGGCTTTTCGGTTGTCACGGAATCGCCTTTTTCCAAATTCAGATAGAACCCGTTCGGGACGCTTCGCGACCCACGGAACCTTCTAGTAACACCCGGGTTACTGCCTTTGTGTCGAGCCTATATATAGCCTCGTGTTGTACCCATGTGAATCATTCAATAGATTTCTCTTTCCTGAACCAGATCCTCACAGGAATGCTCGACCCTTTTCAACGCTCAAAAGTTGGTTTCCCAACTTTTCAAGTACTTGCATCATTTCTAAAGGCTTCCTTTTAGCCTCTAACTCTTCCCTAAATCTTTCAATTGCTTAAAAACCACGAGAAGTAATATTTTTAGTATAAATTGTATTTATAGGATAACTTTAACGAATTCTTACTTGTCGAGGTGTATGGCTCTAGTTTCCCAATCGATGCAGGGTCTTGTTTCATGGATTGTCTTTTTGTCTCGGTGATTTCCCCTGGTGCTAGTCGGTCGTGACGTTTTGAATTCGTGCCATCATTTTCCTTTTGTTCGCCCCCTCCGAAGTCGCCACGTTGTTGCGCTTTTGCTTTTTTCTGGATCTTTGCGTCATCGCCGGTTCGATCCGCAGCTACTTGCGACTGCTGTTTTTTTACTTCGAGGGTGCCGAACTGTTATTGTCGTGCAACTCCACACGTGCTTTCCTCATTTTCCAACACGCTAAGATATGATGTCATGTAACGCCGCAAAATGCGCACGTTTCATTTTTTGCTAGCCGCTGCTTTGCATCGACCTTTTTCGATATCTATTGGGTCGGCAGTCGAGGGTGGTGTCAATCACTCCTCGCCAAAGTTCCTAGTTGACGAGTTGCGTTGTGTTCCGTGGTGGCTACTGCTTAATGTGTCCAACCGTTATGCTGTGCACACGATGTCCCTGTAGCTGTTGTAATTCGCCGCGATGACCTATCAATGGATTTCATTCTTTAGCCCTGCAGTGTAGGCCTGAATTTTTTCGCCGTCAATCAGGTCAGTAACACTGCTGAAGAAGACATCCATATACTGCGTGTACTGTGCTACACTCCCAAACTGTCTGTGTCTGTGTATCTGTTCGCGCGCCATGTATGCAAGATTAATCGTTTCAAATCTTTCGATCAATGCTGCCCGAAACCGCACCCACGTCCCTTCGCCTTGGGCAATTTTGTTGTTTGCGTAAATCCACTCCAGTGCTTGGCCTCGTAACAGTGTTGTTGCGAGTCGTATGCGCATCGCAACTTGGGTCGGGGTCGTGCATCCAATGGTTTCGAAATAGCTATGAATCAATGGACGATGCTCCCTTTCGCGCTAGGATCAAACCTCTATGGTAGCATTGGCTTCACTACTTCGGAGTTGACTGTAGCCGCTGTCGTTGTCGCATATATAATTGTCAGTGTCGCCGCTGCTGTTGCTGCTACTGTTGCGGCAGCTGATAAAATATAGCCAAGCTAGATAAAGCATTATATCTTCTAAAGCCGCCGCTCTCTCACGTTGAGGTAGGAGGGTGGTACTACACCATGCACCCATACACGCGGAGCATGGAGGTGTCGCCCTTCTTGCCTGTCCAGTTCACGTGCGGCGATAGGTTGCCCGTACTAGCCATGGTGGAGAGTAGGTTATGCACCCGCATGGCGTGGTCCATAGCATACGGCCAATACGTTGCGGGAAGCTTCGACTGCTTCAGTAGCGCGCGCACCTTCGTTATGAGGGTACGGTTAGTGCGCTCCGCGACGCCTTGCTGAGGAAGCACATAGGGGAGCGAAATGTGGTGCAATATCCTCTTTTGCCCCATGTAGTCATGCACCTCCTTGCTGCGGAATTCCGCTGCGCCTTCAGTCTGCCAGATCTGCAGTATCTTCCCTGATTGTCGTTGTGCGTGAGCCAACCAGAGGAGGAAGACCTCGTAAAAGAAACAAGAAAGGTAAGTAACGGAACTCCACGTTCGTGATCCACAAGTAACGGGTACCAGCGTCTACAAAGGTAAGTGTGTACCTTTTGTCATTAAGCCCGCAGTGGCCGACGACGAGAAAGTCGCTGTATACCTTAAGCGGCTTAGGGTAGCGGTTGGTTCCTGGCTCTAGTAGCGGGAATGGCTGGTGGCTCAGGCAACTTCAAGGTAGACGGTGCAGGTGTGCGGCTGTAATGTGGTTCTGATTTAAGAACCGTCGAGGCGCACGAGTGCGCCAGGCGCAAAATCTTCTGCCTCAATGCATTTTTCAGCGTCACGCGCGAAGGATGATCGAGGTGCTGATGCCACAGGTTGTCAGATGCGCGGAGCCGGGAGGTGCGCATGTAGTGCGCGTGCACCGCTTCGGGATCTTCTTCGGGTATGGGGGATGGTTTCTGCTGGCGCTACTAATTCTACTGCTTCATCGTTCGCCGTCGTCAGCGTCAGCGCGAAAAATTCCCTGACGAGGATGAATGAGAGAGGGATGTTGGTCCTGGGATTTGTTCCTGGGACAAGTCTGGGCTCGCGCGGCTCGGGATCAGGTCCGTAGACAGTGCAACGCGGGGTCGAGAGCTCATTGCCCCAATCGATGGTGTCCCAAGGGTCGCGATATGGTTGAATGTTAGCGGGGAGCGGCACAGATGCAGGGAGGCGCGGAGGGCGGCGGAGAGGAACAACTAGTGGTTCAGTTTCTTCTACTTCTTCAATCCCCCCCCTTTGTTCTTCTCGCCATGCACTCCAGCCTCCGCTTGTGCCGCCAGTAGTAGTCTCCCAGCCTCCGCCAGCGTTGGCCCAGGTGCCTTCGGTGTTGCCCCAGGTGCCGCCGCTGCTTGTTCCCCAGCCGTCGTTGTTGCCCCACCCCCCTTTTTTGAAGGCGCCTTCTTCTTCTGTTGCGCCCCATGCGCCGTAGGCGAAAGTTTCGCGCGCTTCGGCGATACTTTTCTGACAAATCTCCTCAGCTTCGCGACGTGCCAGCTCTTCTTCTTCTGCAACGGAAAGTTTCTTAGTCAGATCGCACCAATTGGGGTAAGCTTTCACAAATAATTCCTTGGTGTAGTGCCACGCTACTCCGCGCACGTCAAAAGTTCCGCGGCGTCGTCCGCGTGAAATCCCTCCAAGCCACTCAGAAGCAGTCATGGGAGGGGTTTTTCTGGAGTGTCGAAAACTTGGCGCAACACGACTTCGAGCTCTAGCTCCGACATTCATTCATCTAGCGGAGCGTATCGCTCAGTTTAGGCAATCGCAAGGAGTCTGTTTCCTGTGATGTTGGCGTTCGTCGATGCGGTCAGTGTGCGGCAGTCTCTGCAGATGCCATCACGTTCGGGGTCGTGCACAGCGATCTCGCGCTTGTGCGGGTGATAGGGTACCCATGGCCTGCCATCCGGATGCTTCCATTCAGAGCGGTGAATGTGCTCGAAGTGCAGCGGGAAGAGATCCATAATGTCATCCGTGTTGCCGCTACAGTCCGGGATGTCGAAATCGAGCACGTAACACAGCTTTTGGTGTGCGCTCAGCCGATCTCCTTGGGTGGCTTGTTAGGCG